TAAACAATATCAACTCTTAGCGATAACATTCATTCAAGCTAGCACACAGCTGTCCAAACATAATGCGCACTATAGATGGAACTGAATATTGAGTCACTACCAGTGATATATATAAATACATTTATAAAAGGGTATTGCTTGCTGCATGACTCCTCAATTCAAAAGTTGATCTGCAACAAACTGCACGTGATTCGCGGCGCGCTCAAAAGTGTTACAAACAAAAATTTCTCAAAAAGTTTTAACGACTTTTTCGCTTCTCAGACCGGCCTTAAGATTAAAAAATAATTGAAAAGAGTGTAAGTGATACGATCAAATGATTTGATACTTGTGGATAATCGGGCTTTTGTACTCAAGAAAAGAAAGAAAACTTTATAAAATAACATAAAACTGAATAAGGCAATATGAAATAAAATAGAGTAAAAAAAAAAAATTAAATAAAATAAAAAGAATTAAATTAACCAAAGTGAAGTAAAATAGAACAGAATAAAAAAAACATGAGATAAATAAAATAAAATTAAATAAATTTAAATAAAATAAAATAAAATAAAATAAATTAAAAAAAAATAAAATAAAATAAAATAAAATAAAATAAAATAAAATAAAATAAAATAAAATAAAATAAAATAAAATAAAATAAAATAAAATAAAATAAAATAAAATAAAATAAAATAAAATAAAATAAAATAAAATAAAATAAAATAAAATAAAATAAAATAAAATAAAATAAAATAAAATAAAATAAAATAAAATAAAATAAAATAAAATAAAATAAAATAAAATAAAATAAAATAAAATAAAATAAAATAAAATAAAATAAAATAAAATAAAATAAAATAAAATAAAATAAAATAAAATAAAATAAAATAAAATAAAATAAAATAAAATAAAATAAAATAAAATAAAATAAAATAAAATAAAATAAAATAAAATAAAATAAAATAAAATAAAATAAAATAAAATAAAATAAAATAAAATAAAATAAAATAAAATAAAATAAAATAAAATAAAATAAAATAAAATAAAATAAAATAAAATAAAATAAAATAAAATAAAATAAAATAAAATAAAATAAAATAAAATAAAATAAAATAAAATAAAATAAAATAAAATAAAATAAAATAAAATAAAATAAAATAAAATAAAATAAAATAAAATAAAATAAAATAAAATAAAATAAAATAAAATAAAATAAAATAAAATAAAATAAAATAAAATAAAATAAAATANAAAAAAAAAAAAAAAAAAAAAAAAAAAAAAAAAAAAAAAAAAAAAAAAAAAAAATAAAAACAAAATAAAAAAATTTAATTTTTAAAAAATATAAAATACAATCAAATGAAGTATAATAAAATAAAATGAAATAAAATAAAACAAAAAAAATAAAGAACTAAAAATAATATTATAATAATAATAAAAAAATGAAATTAATGAAATTAAAAAAAAATGAAAAGAAAAAAATTTACAAAAACAAAACCAATTTTAACAATTTAAAATAATTGAACTATAATAAGAAATAAAAGAAAGTTTAAAATAATCAATTAAATCATAAAGTGAAGTAAAAAAAAATAAAATGAAAAAGAATTAAATAAATTGAAATAAAATAAAATAAAACAATACAAAAAAAAAATTAAAAAAAAAAAAAAATTTAATTAAGCAAAATTAAATTAAATAAAGTAAAATTAAATAAAGTTTAATAAAACAAAATACTTGAAATAAAATTAAAATTAAAACCCAAATGAAAATAGAGTATGATATTTTAAAAAAAATTAAAATAATGTAGGGGAATATACTAAAATAAATGTTTTTAATAATAATTATTGGGCTAGTGCCTATACAAATTTTTTTTTTAATTGTACAATTCTCCAATTTCAAGTGTTATATTGAATTAAGCAGCAAGTGATAAAAGTGAAAATGGATAATATACGAATGAATGAAAATTGTAAACGAATTGCACGAAAATCCAATCTTAATTACTTATTTATTTAGATTTTAAATGTAAAGAAAAGTTACAGCTTCTTTCCATACATGAATTTAGTCCTCTGGTGAAAGAAATCATTTTTACAAGAAAATATATTCATCATATTAATAAGATTTTCGTCACTAAATTTACATGAAAAGTAGCATTTTCACTTTCATGAGTGAAATTTTAAATAATTAACAATGTGTGTTCCTTTTTTGATACAAATAAGAATAGTTATTTATAAATGTAATAAATAAATATAAAGTTTATAAAAAAAAGACTAAAAACCGCATACAAAGTTCTTAAATATTTAATTTTTATAAAATATATTTTTTTTCTGTTCCATTCTAAGAGACAAGCACTCAGTGTTCTAACTAAGAATCTTGAAAATTACTGACTGTAAAAAAACAAGATATTCCAAGTCATCTACTGTTTCAAACACTTTAACATCTTACATACGAATTTTTGAAACTAAAATGTTTTCTTTGCAATTATATTTGTTACGTTTTTGCAACATCTGACAATTCATGTCAATAAATTTCACTTTGACTTTAAAAATAAAATACTTGTACATTAAAACAAGAATAAAAAGTATTTTCGCTGCTACTTGAGATACTTGTGCATTAAAAATTTTACTTCAAATACGAAGTGACTGCCGCATACATCCCTTTTCACACACATTTCACACAGGCTTTGCTTTTGCAAAATGCTCAGAAAACCGTTATAGATGCCAAAATATGCAATTCAAACTTTTGCCATACGCAAGCAGAATATCTCCCGGCTGTCGCGCGGCTAAATTAAAAAGTTAACCAAACAAAATCCACTGACAAGATGAGTGAAAAGCCGCACAGTTGCTGTTGTTGCGGTTAGTTACTGTCAGTGCAAAATACAAGCAGCTCTGTGCAGGGAGCGGAAATTTGTTTAAAGAAATAAACTTTGGTAAAAAATAAGGGAAAACAAAATGAAACAAAAATAAAATAAATAAAGAGCAAAGGAATGGAATAAATAACAGAATAAATAAAACAAAAGTAATAAGAAACGTGTGCGCCTGCTGGAAATGTAAGAAAATATACGCACAAATCTGCACTTAACATCGAGCACATACATACAAATAATACAAGCAGCTGCGTGACATAGCCATCCATAAGCCGATAAACAACAACTGTGAACTGTGCTTTTGGTACCTCTGCAAAGTTACTAAGTTCTGATAGGCCGGGAAATGTTTGTACAAAAAAGTTTAATGAAATTCTACAGAACTAAACTAACCAAGCAACGCGAAGAAGTAATCAACCGCCAGCAACCGCAAATGCATTGTGGAGTGGAGTGAAGTGTTGTGGAATGTCGCTCAATTAACATTTGAGCTGTTCTAAGTGAAAGTAGGGTTAATAAAACTGAGTTCATTTGAGTTTTAATTAAAAAAAATCATACTGTTGAAATTTTTTAAAACTTTGAACTTTTCTTGTTACTATTTACTGATAATTTAAGTTCAGCCCAAATCAAGTAAGCCTCAATTAGATATACTTTGTGAAATATTTATAAATATTAAAATTATATTTTTCAAATATTTGAATTCTTTTGAAGCATCGCATCATAAAATTTCTTTGTGAAAAAAAAAAAAACAGTTTACTTATGTATGTATATACCATGATAAATGAATTCTAAATGTTTTTTTCATTTACATAATTTCACAATTTTTTAGACTGTCTTATTTCAAATCATCCCATTTTATTTTCTTAATATGTAGTTTTATTTAGTTGCATTTTTTCTAATTTATTTTATGTTGGTTTACTTAATTTGAAATTATATTACTTTTTTTTAATTATTTAATTAATTTATTTTATTTTTTGTTGTATTTAATTTTTTTTTTTTTATTTTATTTACCATATTTCACTTTATTTTATTTTTTGGATGAGTGCAAAAGTTCGTGCCCGATTTTAAGTGCAAACTAAAATTGAAATTTTTTGAAGAAAGCGCTTTTATTAATCAATTATGTATTCGCCATCATGTTCGGCAATCCACTCCCAACGTTCAACCAATTTACGGATGCNCCACTCTCAAACGATTCGAACGGCATCCAGCGGAATCGGGCACGAACTTAGGCACTCATCCAATATTTACTTTTGTTTTATTTCATTTTATTGTTTTTATTTTATTTAGTTTTATTTTATTTTATTTTCTTTTGCTTTGTTTGACCGCGTTTTATTCTAACTCAATTAATTATACTTCGTTTTACTTAATTTTAAATTACATTATTTTGTTTTTGTTTTTTAATCTTATTTTTTTAAGTATTATTTAATTAACTCTACATTAAACTTTTGTCTATTTTTTTTCTACGCGCTTTATTATATTGTATTTTATTTTCTTAAAGACCTTTTTTATACTTTATTTAAATTTATTTTTCTTAAATTTACTTTATTGTATTAAATTTTATTTTATTTAATTTCATTTGTTGCTCTGTTTTTTATGTTTTTTTAATTTTAGAATTTTATTTTGCTTTTTTTATAAAACTGTATTAGTTTACTTTAATTTTAATTTTTCTTTTTAGTTTTGAATTACTTTTTAATTTTTTTTATATTAATTTATTTTGTTTTATGTTTTTATGTTGTTTCATTTATTTTTTAATTTTATTTCACAAAAAATATTTTTTTAATTTAAATTAGTTCATTTTATCTTTTTTTTAACAGGGCCATAAGCTCATTATAATTCAAGGAGTATTGAAATAATTTAATGGTACTATGACTTCCAGTGTGTAGGGTAGTCCTTATAGCGCCTGTTCTTTGCGATTCATTGCGATTGGCCAGTAGAAAATTAAATTTCCATCTTTTGATAAATGATTGTATGCAAAAACTCAAATGTTATCGTGTGAAGCAAGTGCAAAAATGACTACAAGAGAATTGCTTTTGCTTTAAAAAACAGACATCATAATAACAAAAATAGAAATAAATCACTTTAATAATATTTAAATATTGTTTTTTTTCGTTTTTTATGCTCACAATTTTTCCCATACAATCTAATATTTTTATTTCCCAACATTTCCTTGCAGAGCCGGCAGCAAAGGGACGAATATAAATATAAAAGTTATTTCCACGCACACATTTACGTGTCCACTTCCGTCTTGTGACAAACACAGTATTTAAAATCAAAAATATACAGATAAATTATATTCCACAATACATATACACACACACATATATACACGCATATACGTGGTGATGACCTGGTTTACGAGCATAACTACGTCGTGTGACGGTAACTTCCGGCATAAGCGGAAGTTTCACGGCTATTTGTTTTTGGCATGTGCTTTACTGCTGATTGTGGTGAATGCGACGCCGGTGAATGCACATCCCAAGGAGACGGAGTCAGGTGATGTTATCGTGCCGCTGGACGAAGCACTGCCGCTAAGTGAGGAATACGATGATGTGGATAATATTGAGGTAAGTTGGCAATAAGTGCGAATAAATGCATAAATAAAAATAAAAAAATAAAAAAAATTATTATTATTTCTTTCCTTTCTTCTATCTTCAGTTTCATCAGGCCAAACTTGTGGATGGCGTGCTACAGGAGGAACATCCGGTTATTATGTATAAAGAAGATTTTGTTAGCGAAGATTTTGGTAAATTAATAAAAATTATTTAAAATTTTCCATAAATCACTTATTAACAACAATATATGTTTCCCTCTTGATCCACCTGCAGTACCGAAAAAGAACCGAACCCACCGTTTGCGCAAACACAGAGATCCAGCGCATCGTCGTCGTCGCTTAAACGAACAGGCGGAAACGGAAAAATATCATCCTCTACAACCGGAAAAAATCTATTTTGATATTCTCTCTTCAGCACCAATTGTTACCTCCGATGAGTCCAAGTCTGCCTCCTCAAAGGCGCATGTCGAGGTAATCTCTTTAGCGGAAGCAGACTCACCGAAGATGGTGGAGGGTGAAGACGAAGTGAAGCGTGTGCTTAATAAACGTCCGAAGAAATATCATCATCGCCGACAGCGTCGTGAGGCCGACGAAAGCATTTATCACCGCGAACACTTGGTACAGAAGCGTCACCAAAATCCCTACTATCGTGTTAGCGGTGTTAACAGCATTTATCGTGTTCCAGTTTATCAACCCATTCCCAACCAGTACTATTTGCCGAGCTATTCCCCAGTGAAACACTACCAAAAGTGAGTTTCTTATTTGAATAATAACACACAAAATAAAATAAATTAAATTAATTAGTTTATTTAAAAAGCAAAAACAAAATAAAATAACACAAAACAATTAAATAAGGTTAAAATTGAAATAAAATAAAACAAAATAAAATTAATAAAAATAAAATAAAATAAAATAAAATTAAATAAAATAAACTAAGATAAAATAAAATAAAATAAAATAAAATAAAATAAAATAAAATAAAATAAAATAAAATAAAATAAAATAAAATAAAATAAAATAAAATAAAATAAAATAAAATAAAATAAAATAAAATAAAATAAAATAAAATACAATAAAATAAAATAAAATAAAATGAAGTAAAATAAAATAAAATAAAATAAAATAAAATACAATAAAATAAAATAAAATAAAATAAAATAAAATAAAATAAAATAAAATAAAATAATATAATATAATAAAATATAATATAATATAATATAATATAATACAATACAATACAATATAATATAATTTAATATAATATAATATAATATAATATAATATAATATAATATAATATAATATAATATAATATAATATATTATAATAATATAAGATAATAGGAAATGAAAGTATAAAATTAAATAAATTGAATTCAAAATGTTTGCCGCTAACAAGTCACTTTTTTTTTGTTTAGAAAACCGGTTCAGGGAAATTATCATAATGGTCCCGTTAACGTGCCACCCACACCTAAAATTACCGTCGGTACAAGATTCGGCGGCCCCGATAATACTGATCGTGTAATTTGGCGAGATTATACGCCAACTAGGAATCGTAAGTGTTTTTTTAGAAATAATTAATTGCATATAATAAAATAAAAAAAAAAAACAATATTATTATATTATTTTCACCAAATTCTTACAGCCAATCAACGCGCAAATGTCACAGTTGGGGCACCCAGACCGCTATTTTCACGCCGTACAACGGAGGCGCCAAACCTAGCAACTGTACGTAAGTATCCAATTAGATATATTTGTTTTACTTACACATTGATTATTACAATTTTTTATTTATTTTTTTATTTACGTGTAAATAGCCCCCCGAAGTAATGCAAAACAACCAGTTTCGGGACCTGTTTTTAATTCCGTAGGCACAGAAGCTCCACCATCCAAGATACCACCAACACCACCAACACCACCCACGGCAGCTCCACCCGCCACTGCTTGCGTTTGGGCCATAACCAGTTGTTGCTTACCCAATGACTCAACAGTGCGATACAGATGCTTCCAACAATATGGTTGTAATTATGTCTTTTGGAATTTGAATCCCTGTGCGGATAATATACGTGACAATGTCATCGATTATCTGAATCAACAATTCGAATAAACGAAACGAAATTATCGAAACGTGCATACATACATAAATATGGGTCTATGTATATACTCGTACACTCAGGTTTGCCTTGAGCGTATGGGTATTGAGGCATACAAATTTCACAAAGCATTTATTAACCATAGCTTAGTGTGTAAGATTAAGTTACTGTAAAGCTTCTAATGTTTTTATATATATTTTTATTTTTATTTTTATTTTTTCTAATAAAATTTATTTAGTTTAAGTTTAAATGACTAAATTTTAAGTTTTCGAAAATATGATAACTGCCTTTTATGTTAATTACTACTGTTATTATTATTATTATTATTACTTTTATTTTTATTATTATTATTATTATTAGTATTATAAACAATGCTTAGTTTTTGTTTATGAAAATTTTGTTTGAGCTTATTTTGGACAAATGTGTAACTAAAATAATTTAAAACCAAATAAATGTAATATTTATATTTCTGTGTGCTAAATAAAATCAAATATCATTAAAACAATTCAACAAAAAAAAAAAAAAAAAAACAATGGGATTTGATTACAATGCATCCCCAGATCTGGTCTGGTGAGTAGACGGTGTGGCATAGATATCGCTCAATTTTTACTTGAAGTAAAAATTTGTTAACCCCAAAATACGATACAAGGTCTCAGTCAATAAAAGGACCTCTATGACTTTGCAATTCGAATAAATAACAGTTTTAATTGCAGTAGGAAGATATAATTCTAACTAAAGTCAGCCTTTATGTGCTGATAGGAGATTATCGAAAACCTAAGTCAATGTCATATAATTCTGACGTCAGAACCATTGCATTTATATAAGATGGTTGCGCATTTAGCTTCAGATTTCCCAAATTATGTATTTAAGAGGGAAAACTGAATAATGAAGATAAGCATATTTATTTAATATTTTTTTTAAATCTTCATTTTATTTTTGTATTAAAATTCTTAATTTAATTTAGTTTAGATTATAATAATTAAAATAAATTAAATTCCTTTTTTGGCATTTTATTTGTTTATTTTATGTTAACTTAAATTTTTTAGTTAATAAAATAAAATAAAATCTGTCGTGTTATTTTACGTTATTTAATTTTTTTTTTATTTCATATGTGTTTAGAATTCATTTTACTTCTTTAATTAATTTAATTAAATAACATTTATTTTTATGCATTTTTTTATTTGATTTCATTACCAAGTGAAATAAAATGCAAATTTTAAGTTTGATTAGAATTATTATTATTTAATAAAATGAAATAAGAATTTAAGTTTCATTTTAAATTATATTTTTTTTTTCATTTTATTATATGTTATTTAATTTTATTTTTATTTTTTTATTTTATATTTTATATTTAAGATAATTTTTATTTTATTTTAATTTTTTACTAAGAAAACTGAGATTTAAATGTTAAGTTTAGTTTAAAGTTATAAAATTTATTTGTTTTGTAACTTGATTTCATTTTTTTTTATAAAATGAAAACTAAATTTAAGTTTTGTTTTAAATTAATTTAATTTGGTTTCGTTTTATTTATTAAATTTTTTATAAACTTCAATTTGATTTTAATTTATTTTAAGTTAATTCCATTAAATTTATTTTAATTTAATTTTAATTTTAAGTATAATAAGATACAAATTTTTAATATATATCATTTAATTTAATTTTCATTAATTTTTTTTTTTGATTATATTTTAATTTATGGTAAAATTTTTATATTTCTTTATTATTTTTTTTACCCAATTAAACTGAGGTTAATTTAGTTAAATTATTTTTCTTTTTTATATTTATTAATTTTATTTTGTTTATTTTTTTTTGCTGAGTAAAGTAAGATAAAAGTTTTTTATTTTAAATTATCAAAGTATTATTTTTTAATTTATTATGTATGATTTGATTTCATTTTATTTATATTTTTATTTTGTTTTGGTTTTATTAACTTTTGTTTTTATTGTATTTATTTTTTTGTAATTTTCTTTATTCTATTATATTTTATTTTGATTCATTTTATTTGAATTTTTTTTTCGTAATTAATTTTATGTTTTTGTTACATTTTTGTTTAATTTAATTTCGAATCATTTTGTTTCGAATTATTATATATTCTATTTGAATTCATTTTATTATATTTTCATGTTACTTACAAATTTTATTTTATATGATTTAATTTAATTTAGAAAATATTAATTTAGTGTCATTTGGTTCAATTTTTTTATATTTATTATATTTAATTTAATTTTATTTAATTTATTATACTTGATTGAATTGAATAGAATTTATGTTATATTAATTTATTTAAATTTTTTATCTTATCTTTTTTATTTCATTTGTTTTTTTCTTTTTAACTTATTAATTTAACTTTTTAATATTATTTTATCTTACTTTTTTATTTTATGTAATTTAGTTTATTATTTTATTTTATCTTATTTTATCTCATTTTATGTTACTTTAATTGTGTAAAGTTTCAAAAAACAAATCGCTCTTATTTTCATATTTCGGTAGGTTACACCTTTAAAAATAATATATCGAAATTTCAAATCTAAATCCCAAATAGTTTTTGAGTTATAGCCATTTAAACGGCAGCCGCTCGGCACCTAGAGAGTCTCATTAGTTCTGAGTGAAAACGAGCATTTTATCTTTAAGCGCGTTTTTCTCGAAACAGCATTTTCCGAATTCGCTGCAGTGATTACTCAAAAACAAATGATCCGATCACAATAGAATTTTTTTTACATGTTCTATATATAGTTCTCCATACAATGACCTATCGATTTTTGATCTGATCAAAAAATAGCATGCCAAAAACGACCAAAATTTTGGGTATAATTCGACTATTTTGTTTAAAACGCCGCCATATTGTCAATTTTTGATTTTTTTATCGTAGGTCATTGTGCAGACAATATTATCTTATCGAGAATTTTGTTTTTATATATCATCCATGGAGAAGGTCGGAATCACTGCAGAAATGAAGGATCTTTTTTTGTCGCGCCGTTGGAGGTCGATTATAATTTTAAAAATATTTAATTGTTTTCTTCAAAAATTTCACTGTATATTCTCGAAATATGTATAAATATATTCTTTAAATTTTGAAATAATTGGTAAAGTATTTTTTTTTAATGAAAATTCTCAAAAATCACCTTTCTTTAGGCCATTTCACTAGGTGTGCCCCTTAATTAATTTAAATTATTTTATTTATTATATTTAGTTTAGCTCAATTTATTTTAATTTATCCTTTTTATTTTATTTTCGTTCATGTTTCTTTTTGATTTAATATTAATTTATTTTATTTTGATTTTATTTATTTATCATGGCTGTCACGCATACACGTTTATGTACTCGCATGGCCTAAATGCCCATATATGGGATTGAGTCAATGTACGCGCTTAACATGCAAGTGTTTAATGTGCATATTGAATAGCTGTAAATAGAATTATTATCGCGTTAAATTGAAATACGCCCTCCATCAGTAAACTTAGACGTCATAGCGGCTATCTGCTATTAGTTTATATGTCTGTATGTATATACATTTAGTATATATGCTTGTCTACGTGTACTCGTATATGCTTTTTGATACACATAAAGCGTAATGTAAACGATAATAGGCTTATCGTTTGTTCATACTAGCTTATGTCTAATACAGTTTCGGGGCATTTTATACAAACCGCGAATCGTTTGACCAACCGCTCCCGCCCATACTAACCACCTCATTACGCTGCAAGCGCCGAAAACTCATTAATTTGGTGTTAGGTTAGCCCTGGTTAGGCTGTGAGTAGCTTATGATGACGCGATGTGCCAATTAAGCGTCGGTGATGTTGTCAATTAAGCTCACCTGCAGTGTTGTTGCTTAGGCATGAGTATAAAAACGCACAGCCGCTATGGCTCAGTGTTTTGTTAGTGTTAGTGCACACTTAGTTGATTTAGCAGCATTTATTGCATTTTTTGTAATATGTAAATGAAATGTCATGAAAATATCTATAACGCACATACGTATGTATACATAAGTATATATAAATATAATAATATGTAAGAGAAGTATTTTCCATATATGAATCATGAGAATAAAACTTTGGAACTTAGCGTTGGTTGTAACAGCTCAATAAAATCGGTTAAACGTTTCAATGCAGGCTAAGCCATTACAGCAGACAATGGGTTTATGCAATGACTTATCAATAATACAATGATGTGTAAATGATGGTGACTAAATTTAGCCAAAGTCCATTGTAAAAATTAATTTATTGAAGATTAAGGAAATATTTTTTTACAACTTGATCGATGCAAATTAGTGCGTATTCATAGAAATATTTGAATATTTTTCAATTTTGAGTTAAAAAATAATGTTCCTCAATTATGGTTAGAACGGGTCCTTCATACTGCTCTTTAAAGGCGGACTGTAATTTACCACAAGAGCTATGAGTATGACTTTCTTATCTAGCCTGGATAAAGCAGAATTTATGCCGCGATTGCTAAGGTCATTGCTTTCCATATCATCAGCATAGGCCAGTAGTTGAACACTCGAACAGATCGAAAAAGTGCTTCAAAATCCTGACAATTACAGAAAAGCGGCCCGGGGGCAACTTTCTTTCGTCCGGTCAAAGGCTGCCTTAAAATCAAGAGACAGAAGGCGTGTACCGATCTCTCTCTCAAATGTCTCTACTGGTCTGCAGCTACACTCAAGGTGCAAGCAGTTCGCTCATACAGAACATGCACTTAGCTTGTGGTAGACTGCGGGATACCTCTTTTTGTGCATTGGGCAGAGAACACTGGGGTTCCGGTTATAGGGAATGCTTTCGTCCGATTAAACTCTGCAGTACAATGCACTTAAGTAATTGTTAATTTTTAAGCGAGCACCAGCTTTTCTTACTTTGCCATGTTCACGTGATGGAACATACATACCAACACCATCGATTCGGGCTTCCGATTAGGCTACACCGGGTGCTACACTTTCACTGCGGTTAAGCAGCGTTCCATCCATAAACTAAACATGCTCTGAACGCCAGTGACCAGATCTCTCCTTTCTCGTTCCTACTGGAAAAGGCAACGATTTCGAAATTTTTTGAAAGACGCCTCAGTTCTTAGTAGGCAATTCGAGATTTTATGCTAATGGTTAGTTGAGATTCTATTCTTTTTATATCTCTAAGTGCCACTCACTTTTCCCTGTGACACTCGCTTATCGATCACCACGTTGTGAGGTAGTCAGCAATTTTTTCCTGTACTCGCTCTGTTTTCGATCTTGGTAAGCACAGCTGAGGCGACGGCGGTACGTAAGGTACGTTCACCAGTTCCTTAATAACAAGTTCTTGAAGAGTGCTCTTAGAAAGCAGCACTGCAAGTCGAACAGAAAACTGACAGGCTGTCTGTTGTGGTTGCAGTTTTTCAACGCCTCACCTTGACCGTTTTTGCCGACGCGGATTATTGGCTGCACCGTCAGTACGCACTTTTAAGGCATCCAATTATGGATTTTTTGTTACGAAACCGGATTTCGGGCACCGGCGATGTCGTACAGTCTCAAACCATTAAGAAAGTCTAGTTGAAAGGGCAGAATTTTTCGACCATTATACCGAGTTCCATGCACTTGAGGATCTGTTGACGGATTTTTGATTATGTATATAAATATTTCGAGAATCAATCGTTTCCAACTTTAGTAGAATGTAGAAAAAATATTCTATACAAAAAATTTTTCTTCGATAAAGGTGAGAACGCAGGTCAGTCGACTGACAAACAGGAGTAGTGTTTACGAAAAAAAACCTGGTGGCAAGGAATCATCCACTATGAGCTGTTCCCCTACGACCGAACGCTTATTAGGGATCTGTGAAGAAGACGATCGCGCAGAAAAGCCAATAGGAAGAGAATTGTCATCATCAGGACAGCGCCAGACCACACACATCGACATTGACTCTACGAAAGCTCCAAAAGCTTGGTTGGGAGGCTCCTATGCATCAGCTTCACAGTCCGAATCTCGCGCCAAATTATTACCATCTGTTTGTGTCGATGGCGAATGATTTGGCTGGTGATGAATTGGCCTCAAGAAAATCCTGTGAAAATCGAGTATACCAAATTTTTCGCGAATAGGAAAAAGGGTTTCAACGAAAGAGGAATAACGACTCTATCTCAAAATGCCTGAAAGTTTTCGGAGCCAACCAGTACATATTTCTCGTTGGAACAACATCTAAAAATTATGAAAAAAAATAAATTACAGAGAATGTCAAGTCCTCCAGGATATTTCAGACTTGAAAGCAAAATTTCTTCATAAAAGTCAGTCGGCCGTTTGGATGCGGCTCAGAATAAACTGTATGTACTTCCACAAATTCGAGGAGGACCTCGGTCGAAAACCGCATCAGCGCCGACAAAAAGGCCCCATCAGACAATCACTGATGGAGCACCCTGAATAATATATTATATATTTCAAATTGGGATTTAGTGTTTGCTTGACCTGGTTTACTCCATCGCATGCCATTCGCCTACTGCGGCCGCCATTGGCCCCTTCCATTAGCCTAAGTCAAATAGTCTTGATGTTTTCCAGTCTGGAGACCGCTCAAAATATTCGAAATATGAAAGTGCTACCTCTTGGGATTTTTGAAATTTTATTAACGTTTCTAGCTAAAATTCTATGAAATGTGTTTATTGGGTAAGAAAATTGTGCATTTGAGTTTCACCATTCCGAATGAATGCGTCCCTCAGCACATACCAGTTGCTTGCCTTCCATACAAACACAACGAGAGCTCTCCTCTGTTGTATTTGCATATACTGGATGTTTTCACTATATAAGCAGTTGTTTTTGTTATTGTATTTTTCAAAATAACTTACCGCTACCACCATCATATGATTTTATAGTGGAACCGCTTGTGTTGGATCGCTTAATCTCGCGTCGTCCCATTTTATTTACTGGCGGCGTTGCTAAAACGACCTGCACGGTTGACCCTTCGTTTACAGTTAACGGCGGACTTAGTTGTTGCTCCTCCGCTTCGCTGCTGAATTCCGACTCAAATTCTGTACGTGTTTGCTTGGTCGCTGAAAAGTGTTGGTGGTGGTGGTGGTGGTGATGTTGGCGCGTCGGTTGGTTTAGTTGCTGATGTGGACTGCCTTTGGAGGTGGATGTGGCGTGTTGTTGTTGTTGTTGATGATGTTGGTAATGCTGATGCAAATGTGGTTGGTAATAGTGTGAGTGATGTTGGGGTTGATAGAAATTTTTGGGTGAATTGGTGGCGGATGTGAGTGCGGGGGTGCTTGTGGTGGATGCGGCTAACGCTACAGCTGTTGTTGTCGCCAGTGATGGTGTCGATCCGGTTGCTAGTAGTGTAAGATTTGGTGGGAATTCGAAATATTTCACCTGCAATGGATTGCACGGTGAACTGTTACTTCGACCGCTGATCGAATGCCTTGTTGATGTTGTTGTTGTTGATGAATTTAAATTATAACGATTGTTGTATGTTATTGCTGTTGTACCAGTTACTTGGCTATTTGCTGTTGTGCTTGTGCAGTTTGTGTTGTTGTTGTTGCTGTTGTAATTGTTTGTGTTTGTGTTGCTGGTGCAATGACTGCCGGCGCTGTGCGGTGTAGGTGGTGGGGGTGGACAAGCGTTGATGCTACCGCTGCTGCTGCTGGTAAATGATGGCTTGCGCAGTGATAACGGTCTCGATCCCTTAGCAGGGTAGAGTGGGTACTATCGGCCGGCAATACGAACCCAATCGCGATGGTCACTATTATACCAGACGCCTGAAATGATGTAGAGTGTACAAAAAAAAAAAAACACAAATGAAAAAAAAACAAAATGAAACAAGTTATTAAAGTTTGTGTGCTGTCAATATGTATATATGTATGAGAGTGTGTCAGCAGAGCTGCCAACTCTAATATTTAATTAATGTTAATTATGCTATAATTGGATTTTCTCTGGTGAGTAGATTACAAAACCATTTACCTCTCTTAGCTAGTTAAATGCACACACACACTCACTCATACGCACACACACTTATGTATATAGATTAGAAAGTATAGTAGAATAGAAAATAAAAAATATTTCTGTGGTAAAGAAGGATAATTTTTGCTAATTAAGCATCATAATTAATTTGCATTTAAAAAATTTTATACAATTATCTTTGAAAAACAAAATATAAAAAAATAATATATTATGTTTTTCATATCTGGAAAATTATCACTTTTATAAAAATAAAATTATTGAAAAAAAAAAATATTTTTTATTTCCAAAATGCAATACTTAAAGTTAATTCGGGAGTTTTTCCCCTTTTGTAGCGATTAAAATTCTCCACTAAGGTTTATTTTCTATTTGTTGCTATTTTCTATGGAAATATTTATAATATTACATTTGTATGCATGGTATATTGAACACAAGTTTAAGACAAGAGCGAAATTAGGTGTTTATTGACGAATGTTTTTTTTCTATTTTGTGGGTTGCCGAAGATTTTAAAATAAAATTTTTATAATTTTATTTATAAAGCAACGTGACTAGGTAATGCGTTGCATTAATTTTTTTAAATTAATAACAATAACATTTAAAAGGAAATGATTAGTTTTATATTGAACAAAAGTATTTCAATTTACAAAATTTTCTAAATTTTTAATAAAAATTTCATTAGCCAGCAACTCTAACTTTTGGTGTCATGTAATAAGTATGGCATGAGCAAACAATGTCAAAAACGTTAAAAATGATCAAAGTTCAAAGCGAATGCACAATATTATATAATATTTAATAATATACCCGATTTTCGCATTTATTCTTTGTATGCTAAAGAGCTTCTGGGAAATAGATGATCCACATTTTGTGAAAAAATGGAATCGGTCGTAAAGTGTCCAGTGGGATATTCTGGACAATGATTTAAAAAAAAGTGTGGGCGTTTTATATTGAGGAATTTTGAAAAATTAAAACAAATACACGGTATTGTATAATATTCGTTAACGACTCCATTTTATGAATTTAATTATACAATTTGTTGGGCTGAAAGCTGAAGTTTTGGCATTAAGAAAGTTTGAATTCATCGGATAGGTAACAATATAACATATCTACAAGAATGAGGTATTTATTTGCAAAAAAAATGATATTATATAATCCCCACTGTATATATGCCGAAATTGGTTCAGTGACGTCAGCGGTTGTCGTAACGCTGTACTCAATAAGCCTTGATTTGTATGTATATATTTCGAGAACCATATGGTAGCATCAAATTATAATGGAAAACAATATCAGTCGAATGGCTGCCACGGCTACGCTTTCAGGATCGTACATTTTTTATGAAATGTTTTGGCTGCTGTATGCCCTCGAGAGTTTCACGAATTCCATTTTTGAGGTTATGAATCGACGATGGCCGGCCTAGTGGCGTAGACCATATCTTTCAAGTGACCCTAATGGAAGCAGTAGCAAGGTATTAAATTACAAGCTCTCGGTGGTCTATTGCGATCACCTCTACGGGAAAAATCACGATCTGGCAATTTTTTCCCTTAAAAGTTCGATGGTAGCTTTGTTTATGTGGCACTTCGAAAAGTGAACGTTATCCATCCAATACCAGTTCAGAGATCAGTTTTTTTTTTTTATTGATACAGCCATCGAAGTGGGGATGGGTTTCATGAGTCAATATGAATTATTCGATAAAATTTTTAGAGTGAATTTTAATAATTTCAATTTTCTTTGATGAAGCATGTGTTGTTCCGCATTTCGTCTTGCTTACTTTTTACTTGTCAAATGTCATCAAATTACGGCTTTTATAGTGAATTGCGAATTCCACCAAACACAAATAAAACCTTCAATCGTGGCTTTCAATCGTGGCTTGGATACCGTTTGAGCCGACTCACTTCACCTTCGACCACAGCCGTTTTCATTTGACGTTGCTGCGAGTGATCTAATTTTTATCACCAATCATCATTCGCTTGAAAAATGGCTCGATTTTTTTCCGATTCAGCAGTGATTCGCATATGGAAATCCGATCCATGAAGTTGTCGTTTACAAATGCGGCACCCATATCTGGAGTTTACTTTATATCCTGCCTTTTTCAAGGGAAATCGAAACCGAAAAAGAATTTATGCAAGGTTGACCGTTAGAACATCAGTACAACAAACACTATTTAAATCTTCATCTGCCAGGTGTCCACCTTTGCTACGCGTTCAATCACTACTGAGTTTGGTAATCATCGCTTCTGCCGGTATCTTTTTAATACAAAATATCATCTTTATAACGCCAGCTAGCGTAATCCACTTATTTTTTCCACAATTTAATGTAAAAATAATGTTTCTCCAAAAGCAAATTAATTTATTTTTGATTTTTTTTTTAGCCTTAATTAGTATGAACCTAATTATTATTAATAACTGGCAAATAAATTTTTAATATTTTTCTGAATTATTAGTCTAAATTTAGATTTTTGTAAAACATCAGAAGGAGAAGACTATTTCATTTAAATAACAATATTAAAATGATTCCGTATATTAATATTATATATTACAATTTTCCAATATTCAAAACTCCTCTACCAAATCGGTAGTCAACTGTGAAAAGCCACACTGCCTCACGCATATTGATGAAAATGTTTACATCCATTTACATATTTGCCCACTAAAATCGCATCCTTAATTTCGTGGCATACAATTAGGCGTACTAAAATATGCAATTAACGAATTTTGTTACTCTCCCACGCGGGCAATGCTAATACATTAAGCGATCTGCTAAGCATTTTTTAGTTGAGTTCATTTCAGTTTTAATTATCATCAACAAGTGTTTAATTCGCGGAAAGTTATTTTGCAAATTTCATGCGCAACATAGAACTGCTTTTGCGGACGGAATGGTTTACTCGTCATGTGTGTGCGCATAATTGAATTCATTTCATATGTTATTTATTTCGCAATAGATTAATTTAGATGGAAATTTGTAGCATAAAACTTTAAATGAAATTAGTGGTGAGCTTATAACTTCGCGTGGGAAATTTCACTGTTGAAGGTTAAACAACTGTTAATAATGAACTACAAGTTGTGGTCAGGAGATAAGTGGTTAGAAATACCATATTTTCTAGAGGCGTAATCAGGGCATCTCGTCCATTATGGTCTTTGTCTGATCTCTGGGGTATAATACAAGGCAAAAGATAAAACGCAGTTCGCAGTTGCGTTGAAACAAGAGTTCTTTCACATAACAGTTGATCAAACTAGTTGAACATCTCAGCGCGATCTTCTATTTTGAGAGAATATTGCTTGGAAAATTTCGGGTTAGTTAAATTACTGATTCATCTAGAAAACAGTCCCTAGTGACTTTTCCCTGCAATAAAAATCTGAACTTTAGAACAAAAGGGTGCAATTTTAACCAGGAGATGTATCGGGCTTCCGCGTTACATATTTAAGATTTGTGATCTGTTATGTGGCAGGTAGGCTTATTTTGCAAAGTAGTTCTGTCACTGTCTAAGCTTGAGAGGTAGGAGGGAGAGGATCTTTGGAAGTAGGGAACGTGTTTTAAAATAATACCTTGGTATTTATTCGTAGAGCGTTTTGGCTCTTAATGGAGTTCGGGAGTGAACTCTAAAGGAAAAAAATTAGAGGTGGTGCGGGGTGACTATTCCATTTTTTGCATTGAGATTTTATTGAGCTCTTTGGTTCTCCGAAAATTTGGCGTTTCTCAGCAGTTCCTGGTGCTGGCAGACAACTAAGCATGTAATAATGCACGCTATCGAATATCTCAACAAACACCCTGAGTTTGGCATCTATAGACGCTTTAAGTTTATTGCTTCGAACCATGAATACGAAGTTGAAAGAAAAAATTAAATTGTACCAATTCAGTTCCTAAGCAATATAATAAACATAAAAATTAATAGTTATTAATAATCAAAAATATTTAAGAATTAATATTCTATTATAGAAGGAATAAAATTTGAGTTTTAAACTAATAATTGAGAATAGTAATTCTGAAATAGATGTTTTTTCTTATATTTCGAAAATTTAAAAACTGAAAAGATACTGTTCAGCCCATGAATGCAGGTTCCATCGCCAGCCAAATCTACGTTCTATAAAAAAAATTCTACTCAATAAATTAAAATTCAAAAATATTTGAAAAAATCTTAGCTTCTCAGTGGTTACTCGATTTGATGCATGCAATAAATAAAATACATTATTGTATTGCACAACCTTTTAACCTCTTTTCCTCTTGTTTCTTTTTCTCTGTTTAAATTTTACTTGCTTCGAAAGAATCCTCAGTCAACTAAGTATTTTTCCTTTGCTATTGGCTAACTTGACAATTTATGGCAACGTTACGTCTTTCATTAACAGAAAAACAATACATACACGCAAAAGATACGAGTTTAAGCACATACCCATATTAGCCTCAGTCACTCAATCATTTAATCATTCATTCATTTATCCATTTCCTTAGCGCTTTCCACTGAATTAATGACAAGTCGTACATAAAAGTCGTGATCTTTTTACAACTTCTCTCGCGCACACCGCCATTTACATCTCAATCGATTTCGAATTGAATTACCATCAGATGACAACAGCACAACAGAGACATATACACACACACAGACACAGACACACACACAAATACTCATATGCTGCCCGCATAGCATATAAACAGTTGCACAGCAATTCGAACATGCCGGCTACAAAGGACATTAACAATGAAAGCGACAGATGCAGGATTAATGTATTGAACGAGTGCTGAGTGCTGAGTGCTGCCGGAAAAATAAGCGGAAAGGAAATGAAAATAATAAATAAAGAAAAAATAAGCTTGAAAAGCGAACAACTTAAACGAACTATCAGGACAACAAAAATGCAAGCTTTGGCCGACAAAACGAAAATCAGAAAATGAGCCGTGCAAAGTTCACCGTCTGTCTGAGTGAAAAATGCGGAAAGGAAACAATTTTTCACCAATGCTGTCCATTTCATTTTTCTTTAACGTTTTTCGAATTTGAATTTCGTATTTTCTCTTTATTTCCTTCGTGTTGTGCTACTCCTTTTTCTGCCTTGCGGAATTAATAAATTCATTTGCATTGTTTAACCGGAAGGGATAGCACGCACAATACCGCAGAGCAGAAAATAGACCGAAATAAAATGCTGTGTAAGGTGAAATGGCCATGGGCAAGCCGCAATGCCATGCCGAACGGATATTGAGTTCTTTATCAGCATCAGTGATTGTCTAAGTGACCCAAGGATAACGACTTGTTGCCAAGAATACCACTGCCTGTCCACCTACTACAGTGTTCTCTCAAACGTACGTTATTCGTATTTTAGGTGTGTGCGAGCGTGAAAATGACTGTGTGTGTTTGTGGTTACCACATGTCAGAAGGCTATACCAGCTACACCCAGAGCAAACCTGAACACATATAATTCTATAAGCAATAGTATGAAGATCTCTGTTTTTATAAAATAAATTAAACTAAATTAAAATAAAATAAAATAAAATAAAATAAAATAAAATAAAATAAAATAAAATAAAATAAAATAAAATAAAATAAAATAAAATAAAATAAAATAAATTAAAATGTATTAGTATAACTAAAAATTAAGTTAAGTTTAATTGAATTAAATAAAACTAAATTAAATAAATTATATTGAATAAATTTAAATGAAAAATTATGAAATAAAAAACCATATAAATTGAAATAAAATTTAATAAAATAACATAAAAAAATAAAATAATATAATAGTATTAAATTATATAAAATTAAATATTTTAAAGAAATAAAATGATCAAAATAAAAAATCTATAAATAAAATAGAATAAAATTTAAATATATTAAAATAAAATATAATAAATAAGTTAAATTTAATTAAACAAGATAATAAAAAAAGAGAAATAAATAAACAATATAGAATCAAAAATATGAGTAAATAAAATAAAACAAAGTAAAGCAAAATTTTTAAAGCAAAAAAATAATGTCAATTTAAAAAAATAAAAAATAAAATTTATATAAACAAAACCAACGTAAAATAAAAAAATAAACTTAAACTAAATAAAAAAAATTATAAATTATTGAAAATAATGTAAAATAAAATGCATAAAAATTAAATAAAACGAAAAAATTAAATGAGTTTATTTAAAATAAATAGAATAGTAAAAAAAGAGAAATAAAATAAATATAATAGAAACAAAAATATGTGTAAAATTAAGTAAAGTAAAATAAAACAAAATAAAAGAAACAAAATACATACTATAAAAATAAAACGAAAACAATTAAATATTATATAATTAGTTATGGCTAATAAAGTTCAACCCATAGTTTATCGATTCAATTTCCGACTTTTGTACCTTTGGACCATAATTGCAGGCAACAACAACGCCATCTGAGTTTCAATTGCCTTGAACATTTCTTTACCTAGCCTCAAGGGACTAACTGCTCAGTCTACTTTTGTTAGGGTAAGAGTGCCATTTTACGCAGCCTTTCTTATACATGACTATATTGGCTCAACTATGTAAATTATTTCGTTATGCATTTCAATCTTTTCTTCCCATTATTTGTAATCCAGCCTTGGTAGCAACAATGACTGGCACATTTTGAAGAGATTGTGCTTTTCATCAACATGTGTACGACACTTGCCTTTCGTTTGCTCTTATAATATACATTTATCAAAAGCTTCGACATTTTCTTCAATGATTAATATACTACGTGTACATATTCATATTTCCTTCTTTCTGCTCTATTAGACCACAAGCGAACTTAGTCTATCTCTCTGTATTCGCAACTCTAAGAACTTAGGAGTACAAGTTGTACTTCTCATCCTCTTCCTTTTCATACTCGCGTGAGCTTACTGTTGCTTCTCATGTAAACAAATGAGCTCATACAAAATTATATATATACACGTATTTGTGTACATGCATAGTGCTTTCGATAGATTTTGAAAAATTACAACAAATATATATTATATATGCAGATGGATGCGCCTGAGAGTAGGCAATAAGCAACGTGTTTCTGCCATATATTGTATATATGTATGAATGTATATATTATTTTGCCAACACCTGTTGTTAGAAGCACTTTTGTGTGGCAAATAAAGAAAATGAAGACAAACTTCCACGTATCCAGAGTACACACACTACTACAAATGCATGCATACATAACATGCATATAAGTATTATTAACTTCAGTATGCTTGCCGTCACTGTGGATTATTATTGTACATTGTTGTTCTGCTGCAAGTGACTTATTCATATAGCTTTTGTTGTGATAATGAGGTTCAATTTGTTTTTCAATTAAAGTTTGCCGCGGAAAATGTAAAAACAAAAAACGTTGTAAAACTTAACGCTTTCTTGCGTACAGCAGCACTACTTTATTCTTCGTCATCTATTCTTTTGCGCTGAATTTTGTTGATGGATGTAATTTGTTCAGTAATGAGTTAAGTTTATTGATTGAAGTTGCAATATATTTATATATTTGTATATCTAATTTTTGAATGCACTTAAGTACATACAAATTAGCTCCTTCATAATATAATGAATATTTAATATTTTGCATTAGTTGAAGCTTAATCAGGACTCTCACTCTCTTTCCTTGGCACTTCTCAATATCTTCCTAGAAAATGTTATTATGAGTATCTCGAAGTAAGCTTCAAGCCATTTTCCCACGCTAATGGATATTAACGTTAAACATATAAGCACAGCTACAACCGATGTGGAGGCAACAGCTACGTCAAACTCACAACTTCTTGCAACCGCAGTATAGTTGCATCATACCAATTCAGATAGATCTATAGATCTGTAATGCAAAAAGCTACCAAAATACATGCTAAACTTTAAGCAAGCCCATCCTGCTCAATAAAATAATAATTCAATAATAATTTTAACCATAATTTTTGTTGCGAGTAAATCGAACATTTAAAAAATACACATCTTCCTTGCCAACCTACAATTAATAACATTTCGACACTAAATAAATGCTCAAGTCTACTACATCTTTGCAGCTGCGTTGCTGGTAGATGACGATGAAAATATTATGGATTTATTAGCTATTTTTGCAAAAAGCCATATACAGGCGAGAGGTTCTGAGAGGTGTTACATTTGCATTATTTTGCATTTTATTCATTTATTCAAATACGCAGAATTTTGTTGCAGCATTCACACTATGCATTTCGACAAACTGAACAGTTTTGAGACAAAAACAATTTTCCGCAAAAAATTACCAACAATTTTTTTCACGATGTAACGTATACCTAAACCTAATCGAGCGTAGTAAAATTTCTACAAACAAAATGTATGGTTAAAGGAATCTTCTTAATATTTTTTTCACAGACTTTGCAGGTATTATCTTGGCTCATCTTCTTGTTTGGCCGTTAAAAAAATGTACAAGAATCCACCTTCTTCTGACCTAGCATTTCTGGGGCAGCGGTGATGTCAGTTTTTAGCCTAGCGAGTCATCCATTAGTTTTGAATTATGTTAAAGGCTTTTTTTTACCATAGTTAGAACTATGCCATTTATTTCAATTAAGCTCCATTTTGCTCAATAACTTTCAGCATTTTTGAAGGTAATGAAATTATGCAGATCTCATAGAAACCTCGTTCTTATTGGCGCAAAATTTTGGCAATCGTTTTTTCCTGACTTCTCTTGGAGTCAATGGTGAAGAAGCCAGAGCAGTTGTCATAGACAAAAACAGACGGTAATCACGAACGGTCTAACTGCTAACATTGAAGGTCCGAATTAAGAGTTTCATTGTACGAGAGCAGCTCATAGTGATTGATTCCTCGCTAATCGCACCAAAAAACACACAGCCAAAACATTCCTGCCTTTGTAGTGACTCACTGCCCTTAGAGCATGACTGTTTTAATATTATAAGTGATCCCCTTTTCATCAGCAGTCTCCATCCACTTTAGAAAATGGTCGATTTTATTGCGATTCGCAGATGGAAATTTGGTCCATTCAGGTTTTTCTTACATAGAGCTTCTTTGTGTAACCAAAAGAGGTTTCAAACTATTTCAGACTCGCCGACTTCCATTATTTCATCGACATTTCCTGCAATTGGCAATCCACAAAATTTTCCATTGTTAGAGCATCAGGACCACGAGCACTCTTCACTTTTCGCCTTTATCGTAGAAAAAGTGTGGAACGAAGTATATTTTCTTTCGGCTTATGTCCATCCTTGCCATGGCTTCAAACACTACTGAGGACTGCTGAGTTAAGAAATCAAATCTTCTCCCGCTATCTTCTTTAAAGCTTTCCTCTTTACAATTTATTGTGGAATTCAACGTCTTAATTTTATTGCATTTTAATTAGTTATGAATAAAAAGGGTCGGACTTCATGCCAACAAAAAGTGTATTTTAATTTTATTAAGAAGTCTTGATAAAAAGTTTTAACACTTTTATTTCGTTTCCAATTCACAATCG